TTGACTGAATACCTTATTTATGTGGGTAGCCAGGATTTATGCATGTATATAGATTTTAGTATACATATTTAGTAAAATCTATACATTTAAAATCAGGCGGCTTAGCCGCAGATAAAATCAAATAAAAATCAGTTTTGAATTTAAACCGAAGAGTTTATTAGCCTTGGTTAAGGTAGTAACTACTCTTGGACTTAGCGGAATGCGATCCGCTACACCCGCATTGGTTCTTGTAAAGAGCGAAATATCGGTTATCTAGATGACGCTTTCTCAAGGGCTAAGCTACGGCAGCCCCGCTGCATTGTCTGCAACTGCCGGTCGGCCTGAGTCCCAATAAGTCATTAGTTCCGGTTTTTCGGCCCTCCAAAATTTTATTCATCTAATTCTTTTTCAAGACGGGCGAGCTTTATGCAAAATAAGTTCTTTTCGTTCAAGTTTTATATAAATGAGCAAAAACGAATTTGCCGCGAAATCAATATATCAAAAGATAGAGACGAAGATGCTAGATATTTTTAAATCACAGATTAGCTAAAAATCATCAAATCACAGATTAGCTGAAAGTTTATTGGAGCGCCTAGCTCCAATAAAACTGTCAGCTTAAGCTCCAGAAGTTGAAATTGGTGTGTCGAGTAGAAGATAATTTGTGTAAATATCTAGGTAGGTATGTTGTATGCTACTTTGTGCTACCCTTAAGTCGAACCATCAAAACCTTCTAGAAGTTTCTTGGTGACGTCATATTATGACGTCACACCCTTATCGGTTTTAATCGTAACCATAGCCCGTACTCATGTTACGCCTCCAATCTTGTCCTAAAGCATTCAGTGGTGTTATCATGTGAATGCAACACCAACATATTTTATATTCGCATCGTCTGCTCTTAAAAGCTAAGAAAAAAGATTCGAACTTTTTTTGCGTCAAACGATGGCGCGCTTTAAGAGACATATTTTTACATCAAACGTTGGTAGGTTGAAAACGCTACTTGCCCCCTTTATTTTGACCCCTGAAAATTCATCCGTAGTTCGATAAATACATTTTAAAAAAATGGTTTAGTCTTGTTTTCTTGGAGGAGTTCGAGAAATTGGGCATTCCAAGACGACCCCACTCTTTGTCTTTTGCGAATATCGTTTGTCAAACCAAAGTATTGCCCGCCATAATAGAACTCCAAGCTGACGTTCTTGATGCCGTTGTATTTGTCCAATACGTCAATGACATTCTAAGCATGGTGAAAGTTTTGGAAGCAGTGATAAAAGCGTGATTGAAATGTAGAGCGCATCCATGTTCAGAGCGGTCGAAGTTGAAGGATGATCCGGGGCGATTGCAGACGGGTGATCCATAATATGGATGAGTGGTGGATCGATGACTGGTGTTGTATATCGATGTTTATGAAGAATTTGTGGGTTTGTTGGTATGAACCGAGATAAATATTTTTTACGTCCTTAGCTCGCTACCGTCTGCTACATCTAAGCCCATCCTTCTAGACCATTCTAGAAGCTTCTACAAGCAACCTTATTTACCAATGAACGTCTACTATTGTATCCTTAATCAATATCCGTATCCATGATAGTAACTTTACCGTATTAGTTGTGACGTCATCCACGCACATTCAGCGGTGAATCTCAACAGAATGGTCAGGAACTGCTTCGAATCTAGCCTGTGCAGAGAAAATAACTTTATTTTTTTAGGACGTCTCATTTCTTTGGTCTTCTCCCACGTAATTTCCTACACCTTCTGTCTCTGCAACTATGTTCAAAACGAATGTAAATTTTTATACAATAATTATTGGATACAACAGCTGAAGTCTGAACAAAACTGGTATATTTTGCAGATTTGATTGACTGATCCATGGATGATTATTCTGGTGGGGGGAATAGTAAAAAAGGGATGGGGGCAAACAACGCTTCCCTTTCCAATTGATGATATTTAGCTTTTATTTGACGGTTGTACTATTCGATGTCGGCATACTACGATATTAAGTTCTACATTCACTTGATATCTTGACCCCCATCCATCCTCATATGAATCACCGCAGTGAGCAACTTCAGTCGGTTTCATTTGTTGTTACGGCGTGATGATTTGGGCAAAATTGGTGCGATGGTAGTGCTTGCAGAAGAGAAAGCTGGGCTTCGGAACCAGATCCACCTCGTCATTAATGCTCAGGACATGATCGTGAGTTTGGCGGCGGTGTGTCCCATCACTCCCTGCCGACTGCAACGACCATTGAGCACAAGACTCATATAGAGGGTAGGTAGAGCGCACTGAGGGCCTCGTTCTCGAAGTGCGGCTATTTTGAGTGCTGTTAGATGAGGGAGGAGATGTGTGGTCAGGACTTTGAAAGACACTACGACCAATTTCATCGGGAACATTTCGTCATCCTCGCCGATATTTTTTTACGGCCCATCGACTACAAGAACCTCATATTTTAGGAAGACTCGTTGAGCCATTTAATTTGATGAACGGTCAAGTGTGCTCCGAGTTGCAGTCACATTCATGTGCGATGTCTGGGGCTAGACTTTATCTGCAGTAATCACTTTCGAATCGGATAGTTTTGCGCAATCAATTAGAACGAAAAGAAGTGAAAACGAGCAAAGTGTGAACCAGATGTTAATCTCACATTGAATTTTGTTGGAATTGAACATATGAATAAGTACTGGTTGTATGAAGATGATAGAGCTCCGAAAAGGAGAGGCCCGTCGTACACATTGACTGCTACCAGCACTGGTGCCAAAACAAAAGGTTTGTTATGAGAATAAGTTAAAAAACTAATCGAAAAAATAGCTTATTTTCAAATATATGTACTCTTAGCTAGCAGATCGAAGTAGACACCTAGTGACGGTAAATGGTCTCGATTTTTGCTGGTTGAAGTAGCGTACAAGCCCGATGTCTGTGCGTTTTGTTAATTTCCCTAGGTAGAAGCCGTCTTTTTCAGAAGTTTTCAAAAACGTTGTTGCAACTTTTTTTCTATTTTAATTTAAGAGTGAGAAACACTAGCTTTTGAATAATAATATATATTTTATATTTGACCACTTTCAACGATAAAATCTGATTAATTTCGATGCAGCTCAGCACAACTTTTATTCCTTGTCCGCTGCAATAACGGCTGAAGTACAATAATCTGGAAACTCTTGTATTACCATTCGCGATGTATGCAGTCTGTGTTTCTTGCAACCTGCACGACATATTTGCGTAAACGAACAACTCATTTGAATCTTTTTAACAATGCGATTACTATCTCTAACAAAAATTAATGAGGATAAGGCAAATGGAACGTGGCAAATGCGTAAACACCTTCGCAATTCAAGTCTTCCGACCAGGGACACGTGAGTTCCTCCAGATTCTCGATAGGATCTTCAATAGGAAAGGTTTTTCTTTTTTCCCGAAGGCATTTGCGATGGCTTTGGCCACCTTAGAGTCACCTTTCGCATCCTTTGAAGTTTTACTTTTTGGAAAAACACCCTTATTGTATTTTGACATCGCGTTTTTGCTGCATTCTGTCAACCTGAGTTCTTTTGAATCCCTTACATGACCCCAACTTAAATCGTGATTGTGCAAAGTATTGAGGAATCGACGCATATCAGCAATTGAGAAGCTGTTCAGCTTCACAATTTCGTCCTGCAAATCGGGCTCCAACAGTGCCTTTTGAATTTGATCTTCTACCTCTTTGGAAATTTTCGCGGCTGGTCCGGTAGACTCAACGCTAGAGCCGATACCAGTTGCTCTTTCTTCCTGTTGAGCGTCTTTCAGAGATTTTGTCCGCAACGAGAAAGCACTTCCTTGCGTGTCGTTAACAGCAGTCGAGGATACCATGGTACCATTCACAACAAGTGTAGTTGCAAGTGAGATCAATATCGGAAATTTATGCATCGTTGAGTGACCGCAAGAAGTAATGTGATCTGTGATGCAAGTCCTGAATTGAAAAATGTTTCTATGTTCAGCAGCACCCATGCGCTAGTAAGCCATTTTTTGTCGAACTGGATGTAATCGAAAAAAAGATAGTACAATTGCCATTATTGTAAAATACATACAAAAATTATGGTTGACACTCGTCAATGCTCATTGAAATTTATATGAGCGGCATGATCACCGAACTTGAGGTTCACATAGGACAGGGGTCGGGAATAAATAGTTTGCCTTTAAAATTATTTACTATTTTCCACTAGCAA